ATTTTGTTAATTGTATTAATAAAGAAACATACAGTTGTATCTGAATTTTATGTTTTATATGTTGCTAGCTGGATATCACAATGGTTTGTTTAGTTAGTGAACTTGCCTGGACTATATAGTGAGACTGTATAGTGGTTTGGGCAGCATAGCAAGATTGTTTCAAAAGAAGAAAAGCCTGTGGTTGACACCAGACCTTCTGGGGCACTGACTGGTTAGGGGAAATCTGCAGTCATGGAAGCCTTGAAAGGCTCTGCAGTCTCTGACCATGTAAAATGAGATACTGCCCCCTTGTGGCTAAAAGCAAAACAGTGTGACTATACAGCTGTCTTGGCATGGGGGTAGTTAAAATGTCTGGGTACTTGGGTCGAAAAGAGAGAATTAAGGCAGTAGGTGATCTGACCCCTACCTGGCAGCCTGCCTCTGCTCTAAATGCTCCCTGTTCTCTCTGCGGTCTGGTCGTTTTGTTGCCTAGCATATCTGAAGCTTTCTTCCATATTTGGTTGTGATCCACGTCCAGATCTCTCCTCCGTCTCATCTAGATTTCTGTGTCTCACTTTATACCTCTTGGCCTCTCAGGCAGGTTCTTGACATCCTCTCACAGACCTGTGATCATCTTCCCAGCTCTTTCTCAGTCTGTGATGTCTGACCCTTGGCCTACGGTTTTTGTCGTTAGCCAGTGAATGCCACTGTAGGAAACATGACCTGCCCCCCAGCTCCCCCCTTACTGTTGAAGAGGGGAGTTTAACTGGAAAACCACAAGGGACTGTAAATGCTAGCAGGATGGCTTCAGGTCCATCCTCAGAGTTGATAGTCTCTGTCCACTTCAGGTTCATCCTCAGAGTAAGATAGTCTCTGTCCACTTCAGGTTCATCCTCAGAGTAAGATAGTCTCTGTCCATTTGCTTCAGTCCTTTCTAACCTTACCACTGGGTACTCTGCTAAAGCATCCAGCTCTGCAGGGAGCATGGCAGAAACAATGACGTGTCACTATCAGGCTAAAGAGAGGGTGATCAACATCAGGGTCTAGTGGACAAGCTTCCCTGCTTGGTGGCCCAAGGTCCATGTGTCTCAGTTTCCTTGTGTGTAAAAACAATACATAGTGTATAGTGAAAACAATAACAGCTGTGGCATAGAAGGAGCAAACGAGGAAATACAAGCTAAGTCTTGTGATGGTTTGAATGAGAACGGCCCCCATAGGCCCATATATTTAAACACCTGGTCCCCAGTTGGTGGAACTTTCTGGGAAGGGTTGGGAAGTGTGGCCTGTGTGGTGTGTCACTGGAGGTGGGCTCTGAGGTTTCAAAAAACCATGCCATTCCCAGTTAGCTCTCCCTGCTGCTGCTGTGACTCAAGGCGTGTGCTCTCCCTGCCTGCTGCTGTGACTCAAGGCGTGTGCTCTCCCTGCCTGCTGCTGGGACTCAAGGCGTGTGCTCTCCCTGCCTGCTGCTGGGACTCAAGGCGTGTGCTCTCGGCTGCTCCTTGCTCCACCACCTTGGATCTACCCGTTGGAGCTTTAGCCCCATTAAACGCCCTCGTTTGTAAGTTGCCTTGGTCATGGTGTCTTGTCACAGCAACCGAAAAGTAGCTAGGACATATCTCTAGTCCAAAGTAAGTCCTGACCACCTGGTAGCATGAAGGAAAATGATGCCTGAGCCTTAGGGACAACACCTTCTTGTGTCTCTCCTGAGAAGCAATAGATCTAGAAATGAGGGAAGCATGGCTGTGCCGGTTTTTCTCTGGTTGGTGTTATGGTTTAAATCTGAACCTGCCCCCATGGATTTTAAATGCGTGTTCCTCACCTGGGTGGTGTTATAGCGGGAGGCTTGTGGAACCATTAGGAGGCATCATCTAGCTGGTGGAAACAGGTCACGTAGGGCGGAGCTTTGAAGGTTACACACAGCCCCTGGTTCCTACCCTGCACTCTGCTCTTGGTCTGCTGTGTTGTGAACAGCTCTGCCATACCCTCGCACTGCCATGAATGGACGGAATAAAACCACGAGCCTGATTATATCCTTTTTTCTTGACTTGTCTCTGTCAGGCACTGACATAGCAGGAAAAGTAACTAGCCCTGAAAATTGGTGTCAGGGAGGTGGGGGACACTCTTATGATTAAGTCAGACCTCGTGTTTCTTAGGCCTTTCAAACTGGTTTGCAGCAGGAGTTTGGCAGGTTTGGAGATGCAGACTAGAGAAGTCCTAGGCTGCTGTAGGAACAGCTTGTGGGAGATTCTGATGGGTGCTCAGAAGTCTCAAGTCCAATAGGAGCACAAACAGTGAAGGACTAGCTCGTGAGGTGTTTAGCTTGCTTGTTAGTTTTCTTGCTTGCTTATTGGCTTGTTTTTTGAGACAGGGTCTCTCAACATAGCTCTGGCTGTACTAGAACTCACTGTGTAGACCAGGCTGGCCTCAAACTCACAGAGATCCACCTGTCTCTTCTTCCTGAGTGCTGAGATCAAAGGCATGTGCCACTATGCTCAGCTCTCAGGAGATTTTAAATGTGAACAGGACTCAAAGGATTTGGAGTACAGCCATTTGTGTTACATCATGGCTGAGAATTTATGTGCATATTGCCTATGTTCTGAAATGTTAGTAAGGCTAAATGGAAATGTAATAGACAGATAATTTGGTGGAGGAAATATCAAGATAGCATTTGGGTTGTGGCATGGCCATTGCTGGCTGCTTTGGGGCAAGTTTATAGTGAGAATGAGTATAGAATAAAATCAGATCAGAAGGATGTAAGAAGCACACAGTTTGGCCAGAAATGGGAGCTGTTTAAAGTTACAGATAGAGAAAGTGTAAGCATTAATGACAAGAGTAGAAGCTGCATGCTTTGTATTGAGACAACTGGAAGATTCCTCAGGACCCTGCAGGAATTAATGAGACCTCAGTCCTGCAGGTTTCAGGGTGTCAAACTGAAAGCTCATTTGAAAGACCTCTTTGAAGAGCATGTCAATGGAGTGCTGTACTCACAAGGGAATGTCTAAGGGCAGGTTTTCCTGGGTTTAGTTGCCTAGCACTCAGAGGCCTCAATAGGCATAGTCCAAGGAAGCCCTACTGCTCAAGCTGGCAGCAGAACCTGGCATTGTTTACACAGTGCTAGTTTTGCAGGTATGGAGAATGCAAGAGTTATGGGTCATGGAGGTTTCCTGCAAGATTCCAGAGAAATGTCTGCGAGGCCAGGAGATATGAAGTTATTCTGATTTCCTATAGAGGGGCTCTGAAGGACTATGCATGAAGCAATGAATGTAAAACCTAAGTTGCAAGAGACCCTATGATGCAGTAGATGCCAGGAACATAGGATGTCTAAGGAGCTTGACCCAAACAAAAAGACCACGTGCATCACAGATGTTGTAAGGGCTTATGACCAAGGTCCACATTGTGCTGTCCTAAATGTGGGACATGGAGCTACAGGACTTCACATTTGCCCTGCTGGGTTTTGGTTTTGCTGTAGTTCCAACCCTCACCTCTGAATTCCCATTCTTTCTTTAGGATCAGGAATGTTCACCCCTCTACCGTAGACTAAGAGCAGGCAGCATTCTTTTATGGCGAAAAGGTGGCCTTGAACTCAGAGGAGTCTTTGAGCTTTTGTCTTCTGAAAAGTGGTGGGACTGTGAAAACTACTGAAGTTGGAGCCAGGTGTGGTGGCACACACTTTTAACCCCAGCACTCGGGAGGCAGAGACAGGCGGATCTCCGTGAGTTTGAGGCCAGCCTGGTCTACAGAGCAAGTGCCAGAGCAACCAGAGCTACGCAGAAATGCTGTCTCAAAAAACATAGCAAAACAAAAACACCTCAAAACTGTTGAAGTTGGGTTAAAATACATTTTGCAGTATGAGAGGTCCATCATCCTTTGGAGGTTGGGGTGGGATGCCATGGCTTGGATCTGGAATGTCCTCCGCAGGCTCCTGTTTTGAAGTTTGTTCTGCAGCTGGTGGTTCTACTTTGGGAGGCCATGGGGCCTTTAGGAGGTGGGATCTAGAGAGCAGGTCACTAGGAGGAGACCTTATATCCAGATCGTGGTTCCTGCTCCACTCTCTGCTCCCTGCTCTCCTGTGATGTAGACAGCCCTTTGCCACACACTCCCTGCCCTGAACTGAGTTTGCGAGTGAGACCCTGTGAGACAAGGAGTCATAATAAATCCTGCCTCCATTAATTGCTTATGGCAGGTGCCTGTCATAGCAATCCATAAGAACTAATACCGTTGAGGTAGCTGAGCCGCTAAGAGTCAAAACAGAAAGGCAGATGTTTGGATAGACCCCTCCATAAGTGTCCCGTCTCCCCCTCCCCCTGACACCCCTCTATGCCAGATTCAAGGCACTCACATCCCCACATTCCTTCCTAAAACATGCATCATGAGTTCACTTTCACAAAACGCGGAGTTGGGGCCGTCAGAATGTGGCCTGTACTCATCCTCAGCCACTTCCCTCTTCCCTGCCCCAAAGGCACAAGGGCAGCCACCCTCCTTACTTCAAGAAAATGGTAAGTGCTTAGCCTGGCACCTGAAGGGTTCAAGAAACATCCATAGGTGACATGGGCTTAGTTCTTCCTGAACCAAGTAGGCTTTGCTAGATTGGGCAGCTCTAGTTTGGGGCAGGCGCCACTAGAGGGCAGGAGCCGTTAGGATAATAGTACCACAGCTCAGTCGGGTCCAGAGTTACTGTGTTGCCATGAGAGGGGAAAAGCTGTGTGTGTGTGTGTGTGTGTGTGTGTGTGTGTGTGTGTGTGTGTGTGTGTGTGTGTGCGTGTGCAAGCAATGGCAAAAACAGAAAAAACCCCTCAAAGACAGTCTTTCTTTCTCTTGAGAGACAAATGGGTGTGTAAATATAGGCTAACGCTCAGAACATACGTGCTAACTCGAGTTTTTGTATAGGTTACTTTTAAAGAGCTCTTAGCTACACTTACCCAAGAAGAATATAAAAGAAAGAGCTAACACAGTTCAAGGTCTGTGTGACTAGTTGCCCCGAGGCAAAGCCAAGGATGCTGCCAATGACTCCATCCTTGAGATGCACTTATAAAGTAACTTTATTGGTCAGGTCAGCCACCACTCATGCTTGCCCCATGCTGAGGACCCTTTATAGAGGCATGATGGTGCTCATATGCAGGTGCTCCCCAAGAGCCCTGGGCAGGGCACCCCCCCCACACCGCACTCCTTGGTTGAAACAAGCTGGTTTGGCTTTTGTGGGTTTGAGATTCTGGAGCCCAGGACACAGTCGAGGCACCCCCCCCTTTTTTTTAGAGATGCTTGCTCCCGGTGCACATAGTCAGGGCTGTGAGGTGTCTAGTCAGGGACATGACTCAGGCTAACATCCTCAACTATTCCTTGCTGCTGGCTGGCCAAATGGCTCCATTCTAGTGGAGTCTAGAAGAGCCTGTGGGCTGTGCCCAGGCAACATCATCCTTAGAAAGGGGAAGACAGGATTATTCTCATCCACGAGGAGTGGCTCTACTCAGTGAGAGCAGAGGGATCCTTGCCTAGTGTAGCAAGATTTGACCTGGCTTAGGCTTCTTGCACCCCAGCGGGCATCTGCAGCATTGCTGGTACCTTAAGCTCTGGCCTCAGGGACAAACCGGTTGTTGAGATGGCCCCATAGTCTGGGTTAGCAGGTGGGCCCAATAGTGGAGCCTGCCTCTGCCATCTGTGTTCCAAAGCTTCCTAGGTGGATTGAAAGATGGGCAGAGGCTCTTTCTCATGCTTTTGAAAACCACGCTGCTGCCCCCTTAAGACTAAAAGCCCAAGAAGGGGGACAGATCATGTTGGGTCATGTGAAACTGGGGAAGGAGCCTGCCCCTTCAGTTCTGCTAGTCTGCGGCGTGACCCTTTCCTCCCACATTATGGATATGATGATAACCATGTAACCCTTCCTTCCTCTGAAATCCGGTCCTCCAGTATACAGTTGGTTGTCCCCTCTGGTATCAAGCCATGACATCACCATTATGCTGATGACTTTCGACTTGGTGGCTTTAAACAGGAGAGGATAGGGAGGTGTTGTGGAGATTTTAGGCATCATTTTTAACCTTGGACAATAGTGTGGCCTCGCACCACAGGTGACAACAGCTACCACCGGGCCTTAGGGAGTGTGTGTCCCCTGACTGCCTAAGGCATAGAAGAGGTCTCAGGGAAAGGGGGCAGAGTGGATGGGTCAGCCCTAGGAGGAGATGGCCGGGCAAGAGCTATGTTTTGAGGAGCAATGAATAGGAGCCCAGATAACTGCAGAAGCAGCAGGGCCATGCTGTTGAGCATAGCCCCAGAAGTCAGACTGTTTGAAAATGGTTATATGCTACTGTTTACGCAAGGTTAAGCTCTGCCAGACAGGTCATAGGGAAGGTTAAGATTGTGGGGCTGGACTCCTCGGCTCCTCCTCCACCGCTTTGTCCTCTGCCGAATCTGGCAGGGTCTCTGATCCCACCTAACTTTGCCTATTGGAAGGAGACTGGATAAGAGCCTGTGGACTTGTGTCATCTGCTTGTCCCATACCATCCAGCAAAAGCCAAACCAGACCATCAAGCCGAATGCAGCGGGGTGGCGGCGTGAGGGGGCGCGGTGCGTGTGCCTGGAGCCCGGCGTGCGGGGCGGAGCCACTCAGATCTCGATGACGCTGGCGAGGCGCAGGCAGAGTGGAGCGTCCACCGGCACGGCGCTGCGCTTGATCTCGTTCCCATCCAGGCGTAGCACTTGCAGCTTGGAGAAGTTCATGACGTCCACCACCGTGCAGAAGCTGCTGATGGAGAACTCTGAGGGGACAAGAAGGGTGGGCGGGTGGGAGAAGCCCAGTTTAGGAATCAAATTGGGCTTAGAGGGCCGCTCTGAATCCACTGAAATAGAGAATAAAGACGGGGTGGTGTGGGGAGGAAGAGTGGAGAGGGGGCCTAGAATTGGAGTCAGACGTTGGCACTGTTCCGGACAGTGCTGGGAGCAGGTCCTGTTTCAGCTGTTGCCGCTCCCACTCTCCCACCCACACCTGTGCTTCGCTACGCTGGATCCCCAATATCCTTGGGTGTCCTTCCCACCAAGCCTTGTTGTTTTCCTGTCTGTGGGCAGCAGGGGGAAGCAGAGGGTAGGTGGAGACCACAGCAGCTGTGAAGGCTTGACTCCTCCTCCTTCTGGGAGGAGGGCTTCGCTGATGGCACTTTACAAGGAGGACGCTCTGGAAACAGAGCGACACTGGTCTTGAGCACTTCTTGTCATTTTGCAGGTACAGGAAGTGGTAGGAAGTGAAAGAGAAAAATCCTGGCTTTAGAGACAAGTGTCTGTGTGCCAGAGCTTTCAGGAGGCTGGAAGGGGGAGGCAGGCTGGAAACTTCAGCATTGACCCGGTGCTCCAAGTCAAATACATGGCCAATCGTGGTGTGGCAAGCAGGACTAGGGAGGCAGAGGCAAGCAGATCTCTGTGATTCAAGGCAAACCTGAACTATTCAGTGAGTTCCAGGACAGCCAGGGCAACATAGAGAGACCTTGTCTCGAAAAACATGCTAAGGACAACAAAACCAAATAAGTGATTCCCCTGCCTTCTGCATATGATTACATAGGCCTGTTTTACTTTAGGGGACAGGATCTCATATAGTCCAGACCAGCCTCAAACTTACTGTGTAGCTAAGCATAGCCCTGAGCTCCAGATGCTCCTGCCTCCACATCCTGACTGTGGGGATTACAGGCGTGGCCACCACACCTATAGTGGGCCTCTTCTGTTTATTTGTTTTCTCCTTTTCCATTCTCAAGTGTGTGTGTGCATCATGTTTACATGTATGTGAAATACCTGCATATGAGGAAAGGGCACTCAGTCACACCCAGAGCTTGCTGATAGGTCTACTCTCGGTAGGTAGGTAGCTATCTTGCCTTAAGGGTCATCTGTCTTTTAAGGCTAGAATTGCAGGCGAGCTGTCACCACCACCGGGTGGCTGTTTCAGTTTCTGAAGAACAGTCCCCCAGGCCCTGCCTCCACCTGAATGTCCTTGGGTGTCCTTTCCACCAGACCTTGTAGGTTCTGGGGGTCTGAACTCTGGACTGGGGGTGGAGACAGAGCCACCCCCTCAGGCCCTTGCTTCTTTTTACTCCCAGAAGTCTCCGAGGACTCTTTGGGAGAGCAGTCCCCTGAGCCATGAAACAGACACCATAGTTCTGCTCTGTCGCAACATAAAGCCTCCCACAGCTGTCTCTGTCGTCCTCTTGGATGAATCAACCACCTGTCTCCAGTCTACTGTCAGTAACGTGAAAGGAAAAAATAATCAAGCTCTCAGTTAAGACTCCAAAAGAGACAGCAAGGTCCTCACTGGAAGCCATGAAGCCTGCCAGGGCTGCCTTGCACTCGGGTTCATTTTCTGTGAACAGATTTGGAATGAGGTGCCAGTGGGGTCTGGAGCGAGCAGGGCTGACCTTGTCACACCAGAGACTTCTCTTATCTTGCAAAGGTGTCTGGAACTATGATCAGAATGGAGCTAGTAGGAGCTAACCCACTTTTTAGAGACAGTGGGGGAGATGGGGGTCCCCCTGGGGTAGCAAGTGTGAAAATAAAGGTGCTCAAGGAAGATGTCTCAGAAGGCCGAGTCTGAGGCTGAGGAGGAACTCGGTTTTGAATTAACACCATCAGTTTTTAACTTCCATTAAGAACTGACCAAGATGGACGGGGATGCTGTAGCAAAACCACTTTGCACCGCAGGCGGATGGAGAATTCCGACCTGGAGAAGAATTGGGTCCCTGGAAGAGTGGGGTTCTGGGAAATACCCTTCAAGGAGGGGCGGGAGACCTGGAGTGCTTTTGGTGTTTTCCCTGGGAATAGTATGGTCCAGGTAGGGGTTGGATCTGTTATCTGTGTACAGGGGCTGGGGAGATGTGAGGTGGCTGTCACTTCCAGTTCTATTTGATCCTGAGATAGAAGTCCCAACCTGCAGCCTGCAGATTGTGCTAAAAATCCAAATTCCCAGCGTGGGCACATAAACATGGGCCATATCTGTGAGCAACAAGACACAACTCAGATCAGATATCCCTGGGGTTCTGAGACTCCTCCCCCCACCTTCCTCAAGCCCAAGTAGGTTGGGGCTTCTGAGGGAAGTCCCTGGCAGACGGTTTTTTCCAGCCCAGTTTAAATACTGACTTAAGTCTTTCCAAATTCCAGTCCTTCACTGGATCCCACAGCTCTGGAATAACATTCCACGGCCGTCTCCCTGCTCTCTCCCCTGGTTGGAAAAACTGAGAAGGGCACTGGAGGGAAAGAAAGGGGGTCCTTCCTAGGCGCAGGCAGGCCTGGAGCTCCTGTTCTGTTGGCTTCCCCTCATAAGTGTCTTTAACACAACTTCATGGTCCCAGCCTGCCAGTGCAGGGAGATCTCCTTCCTGGTTTCCCTACTGTGTGTGGTGGGCAAACTGGGGAGCAGTTTCCTGTGGCAGAAATGGGTGGCCCCTTGTTCTCAGGCAGAAAGGGCAGGAGTTGAGGGTTCTATCTTTCCTAGGCTGGGTGACCTGGAGAGATGGTTCTTATTTCATTATACCTCACTTCCCCATCCTGGGAATTCAGAAAAGAAGCACCAAAACTCTATCGGTCCACTCTAAAACAGCAACGAGAGGGCAAGCTGACAACATGATACCATGGATGGGCTGGGAAACTGTGTGCCAGAGATCATGCACTTTGCAGGCACTATTTACTCTCAAGAATATGCGCCATGGAGGTTACTCTGCTTATTAAAAAGAACCTGGGAGAGAGACTAAATGATAACCAGGAAAGGGAATGGCCCCAAACTGGCACACAGGGATCTGGGGTAGATGCTGACATTTTCTAGGGGTTTGGACAGAGCACTTCCTTGCAGGGCCTTGGGACAGCTCATTGAATAATTTACTTTTGGGTCAGGCTTTGCGAGAGGGATCACCTTGTATCTGACTGGACATTTTTGCATAAAGACAGAAGGGTCACGAGATGCTGTGGCCACCTCTCCCCGATTGGATGGTTAGGCATTAGCTCATGTGCTCTTTCCCAGAACTCCTTCCTGCCACGTGTTCAGGGCTACACTTGGATGAGGTACAGCATATAGTGTGACATTTCTTATATGACAGCTCTTCTGGATTCGACTGCAGGGTAGGACATAAAACTGTGAGAAAATGCCAAACTCTGGTGGTATGTGTGATATCTTTAAGATAGAGTAAATGACTCCCATCATCACCCTGGGATTCCTCCCCCAAAAGAGAGACTTTAGGTAAAAACCAACCTCAGGTGTATGTAACAGTGCCTTGCAGATCAAAAGAAAGGACCAGACAGACACCCTTCACAGCCCCACTGATAACCTCCCCTTATTCCCTCTGAGAAAGACTGTCTGGCTGTTAACATCTTGCTAAATGTCTGATCTGTTCCCCTGAGAGGAGAGAGGGAGGGGGAGAGGACAGGACTCGGTCTCTCCTGTGCTTTGACGGCTCATTCTCAGCAGACCCAAAGAACTTCAAAGCCCTCTGCTTGGCCATCCACAGCCCCCCCCCCGTGTCCCGCCGCCCCCCCCGTCCCCCGTCCCCAGAGCAGAACACCGGACCACGGGGGTGGGAGGGGTGCTAAATGCTAGCAGCAGTACCTTCCAGCTGAGATCAAGACGTCAGAGGTCACTGGGGTAATGCAAGCATGGTCTGAACGTGAGATCCAACGGTAAGAGGCTGGAATTGACGCTTTAGCTCTCAACCTCAGAGAGGTGATCCTGCCTGTGCAGGGAAATTCTTACAAACACCCAGTCCTGGGCTCCCACCAAGGCTTCTGTGTGGTCAGGCCAGCTGCCTCAGGGAGAACATTTGCCTTGCTACCTGGGACTCCTTGGACTCCAGGGAGAACCAGGAAGTCCACCTTCAGCTCTGGGAGGCTTCCTATTTCTGTCCATCTGGTAAGTTTGAAAAACAAACATCCAAACCCGGAGACCAGGCTGTGCAGGCCGGAGTGTCGGGGCGGACAGAGAGGCTGCATCCGCTGGTCATCCTGAGGTACTCAGAGACCTCGGCATGTTAGCCCTACTGCCTCCTAGGGCAGACCCCAGAAGATAACAAAGTCCCTTCTCCTCGATTGCCCCTCTAGAGCAGTGGTCCTTGGCCTCCCTAATGCTGCGGCCCTTCAACACAGCTCCTCGGGTCGTTGTGACCCCCTGACCACAAAGTTCTTTCCGTTGCTGCTCTATAACTGTAATTTTGCTTCTGTTAGGAATGTAACAGAAACATCTCATATTCAGTAAATCTGAAATGTGACCCCTGTGAAAGGGCCATTCGACCCCCAAAGGGGTCACACAGGTTGAGAACCACTGCTCTAGAGCCTCTCCAAACTCATCTCTCACTGCTCCTAACACGTGACCCTTTCCTTTCAAACATGGGTCCCTGCCTGTCCCCCACAGGTGACTTGCTAAGTGACCAGTTCTTCCTGGTAATTCCCCATGCTAATTGTTTTCGTCCAGCCTCCCCACAGCCCCCTGTGCTCGCTTTGAAAGCCTTAGATGGAAGCTTGCTTCTCCTAGGAAGTGGCCTTTGGAGCCACCCAGCTTTGCAGAGCCTCTCTTACCAGCTTCCCTCCCAGGGCTTACTTCATTTGTATTCCCATTAGCGCTCCGTGGAGTCCCCCCTCCCCCATCTCACCATTGATCCTGTTGCCTTGGAGATAGAGGTTCTCCAGGTTGGTGTTGACAGGAGGGATCTTCTGCAGCTGGTTGTAGGACAAGTCGAGCTCCAGAAGGCTGCTGGAATTGAAGGTGTTGGTAGCAAGGCCGTTGTTGGTGAGGCTGTTGTGAGAGAGCCTCACATACAACAGCTTGGGTGACCCCCGGAAGTAGCTGTCAGGGACGGTGTAGACACTGTTGTGTTCTAGGTACAGTTGCTCCAGGGCTGAGGGCAGACCGTCGGGCACCCTTCGGAGGTGGTTGTAACTCAGATCTAGTAGGATCAGGGACCGGAGGCCCCTCATGGAGCTTCCCACTTCCTGGATCTCATTGTGTTGGAGGTACAATGCCGTGAGGTTCTCCAGGCCCTCCAGAGCGTTGTTGGGGACCCTCGAGATCTGGTTGTGGTCCAGGTGGAGCTCTCTCAGCGATCGAGGCAGCGGGCCGGGCATCCGGGTCAGGTTGTTGTGGTCCAGGTACAGCCTCTCTAGGTGCCTCAGCTTGGAGAAGACCTTCCTGCCTATCTTGTCACTGGTGATCTGGTTGCCATGTAGAGCAACCCAGAGCAGCCCAGTGGCATTGTCAAAGACACCTTCCTGGATGGTGGTGATCTGGTTGTTCTGGAAGTAGACATACTTCATGCGGGAGGGCACGAAGGGCAGGTACTTGAGGTTGCGGTTGTCGCAGTACATGGCTGTGGGGAAATTAGGTGGGCAGTCGCATTCTTGGGGACAGTCACGGGGCTCTGGTGGAGGATGTGTGCCATAGGCATAGGCTGGGCCTTCCTCTACTCCGTAGGGGTAAGGCTCAGAGGGTTCGTAGGGGTACGGGTCATAGGGGTCGTAGTAGGTGGACTGCTGGTTCCGTAGGTATTGGATCCACCAGTGAGAGTCTTCATCATACTGGCCCTGGGTGAGTGAGCAGAGACCTGCCAGTACTAGGATGGAGGCCCACTGCATTTTGTCTCTGCAGAAAGGGAGAGAACAGAGCGAGTGGGGGCATGAGTGAGGGTGCTGGAGGGGACATGGGTGGCTCAGGATGGCCACGGGCTCTGAGCTATGCAGATGACAGGGTGACTGTGCAGCATCCCGGAGGGCAGGAGCTGCACTTTCCCCCCAGGTGCCTCCTCCTCCTCTCTGCACACCCAGGGGCTGGGCCTGGGTATGTGGGAAAGGTCAGCGCTTCAGCTTCTGTTCATGCAGCAAGGAAGAGAGTCTGAGGTTAGGAAGGAAGCTGAGAGGTTTTGGGAAGGGGCGGGGCTACAGTCTGGGGAAGGGCAAGTCCTTCACATCATTTACTACCCTAAGGTTCTGTTGTTGAGACTGAGAAGCCCACAATGTCCCCTCCCCCAAGCTGTATACCTTCCTGCACCAGTCATGGTGGGATACTTTGGAGGCCTGAATTCTCATCTAGTTTGCACTCCCAGGGAGATCTTTTCTGAGAGTTCAAGGCCAAGGGTCTCCTGGTTCTTTCCATATGCAGGATGAATCCTGAAATTGACCAAGGCATGGAAAGAGAATAACAGCTGTGCTACTGCTGGAAGATCTTTTGGTCTCTCCGGCAGTCTGGGGGTTTCTGGTCCTGAGTGTGTGGGAGGGTGTGGTTCCCCTGTGGCCACCACAAAGTCTGGGCTATTCTCCAAAGCGCCGTCGTCTGGGTGAGACAACACACTGGTTAGCAGCTTGTGGCTGCCTGTGTACCCAGACTTTTGGTCTTTCCAGACTGGGAACCCAGTATGGCTTTAGTGATTGTCTTCTGGACTGACTATACTGTGTCTGGCCTGGTCTGCTTCTCTTTCCTGTGGTCCGAAGGACTTAATACTCCTCTCATCTCCATGGGGATGGCAATAGCTATATAAGAGGCAACTGAAATGGATTAGGGACACTGAGAACTGGATAGAAATAGAAGCATAGCCAGGAGTGGGATTTAGTATCCCTTTTCTGTCCTGGAACTCACAGACCAGGGTGTCCTGGGACTCCCAGAATTCTGCCTGCCTCTGCCTCCGCATGCTGAGGTTAAAGGCGCGTGTCACTATGCCTGGTGCATCCCTTATCCTCTGCTAAGCTACTTCCTCCCAGTGATGTCACCTGTCTCTCTAGGCTTACTTACCACCCACGCTGCTGAGGAGCCTGTCGCCTTGGAGCTTGCTATGGCAGCAAGACAAGAACAAGACACACTGGGGAGAGAGAAACTGCAGGGGTAGAAGATGGGAGACCGGGGTATCATAGCTGGCCTGGGTACCCTACTCCAGGCTCCCATGGCAAGGGTACTGCATAGGCCCTGGGGTCAGGAGGACCTCCCAGAACACAACTATTAAGACAGAATGGTTGGAATCTTTTATGGCCCAAGAGAGTCTCCTGGAGTGCTCTAACTGTTGGGCCATGCTAGGTTGGCAATGTGAACCGGACAGAAGAGGAACTTAAAGACAACGCTAGATTCTATATGAACTGATGAGAGGACCTCTGATTCTGACACCCCAACTACTCAGTTTCTGGGCACCATCCCTGTCAGACCTCTCTGCTCCCTGACAACAGCTCCCTTGGGTCTTCATCCCACCACCTCTGGATGACTCAGAATGGGGCCCTGGCTCATCCTTGGGCAGCCACAGCTCTTGAACAAAGAGCCACAGTGTTTCTGAGGAGCAGACTCAACTGCCCACTGCCTAGGATGCTGGCTGGTCCCTGACTCAGGCCAGGAGAGAAGACAGATGAGGCGGCCCACCGCCAAGATAGCATTTTTTCCATGCATAGCCCTAGGCTGCTGTAGAACCGACCAAGGTGGCTGTTTAGAGAGGGCTGGCACACTAAACCTCTGTCTCCGTTTCTCCTTCCAGACTGGCACTTTGGCAGAAGGGACCTACCTTTCTCTTCCAGACTCTGCTTTCCAGGGGGCTCCATGCCCAGCCACAGTGGCCTCTCCTCAGAGGATGGCTGCTGGGAAGGCTTGGTAGCAGTGCAGGCCTGTCTACATCTAGAATGTTGCTCCAGGGTCGCACTCCCTTACATTGTTTCTTGTGCTAGATACCTTGGGTCCAGTGCGAGGATCCCAGGAGTGACTTTCACGGACTTGGAGATCCTGACTCAGGAGCTACTGTACAATCTGCACAGACTTGGAGATCCTGACTCAGGAGCTACTGTACAATCTGCACTATCTCACTTCTTTACTGTAGGGGAATTCTCTCCTATTAGAGCTGAGGTCAAAGTGAAAACCATCTCCTAGGCTGAGTGAGGCACCATTCCATCCATGACTCCCTGGACATGGTCAACATTCTATTCTTCCCTTTCATCCCAACAACATACATATTACACAAAGCTTGTCCCCTAACATTTGGATACCATGTCCCTCTCTAAGAATTTCCAGGACATTCAAAGACTACCTTCCAAACTGCCTGAGCCCCAAGCACACTGGGATTCATGGGTAGCAGAGAGAGACTTTTGCAATTTCCGTCATATTTTCATGTCTGTGAAATGGAGGTCCCTAACACCCACAGGGAGCTGTCAGGAGACAGGTAACATGCTGGAGCTCATGCCCCCTGCCGTTGCCTCTCTTCAGCATTCATGGGGATCATAGACCAGATGGGGGGAATAACCTATTTTTGCCTACTCATCTTCCCAGTCTTGTCCCTTTCCTTTATTTCTTTTTGTAGAATTGCAAGGGACAAAACCTAAAGTAATATGACAACACTTACCTTGGGTTGAACCGTTTGTTCAGAGTGACCCGTCCTTCTGTTCAGCCTCCTTGAGTTGGAGAATGTGAGAGAGAGGAAGAGAGAGAGAGGAGTGAGTGCTACGGAGAGTGTGCGAGTCTGTGCCAGACCAGGGCCCGCCCCCAAATTCCTAATCAAATATCTCAAAGAGGGGTGAGGAGCCTAAGCGGGCTTTTTCAGTTCTGCTGTATGTACGGGAGGAGCTCACACTCAGCTCCACAAAGTTCGCTCTGCCCAACGCTGTGAAAACCTTCTTTCCACATACTTATCTTCCCTGAAGCGCTGGCAGCCTCGGGTCTCTTGCTGCTGAATGAGTTAGCGATGCCCCAGAAGTTATTTGTACAGTCTCTTGCGAAGTGCCTGCATTTCTCATTAAGTTCATAAAGCAGACACAGGAGAGGGAGGGCCAGGGTTTGGAGAAAAAGTGTTTTAACTCTTTCAGCAACCCTGGTCCCCTCAGGGAGCCTGTACTTGTCTTTCTTGGCTCAAACACCCCCGGTAGCCAGGGTAGACAGCACTGTGGCTGGAGGGCTTCTCTGCCTCCAGTGGATGATGGCCACTTTCGGCCCCCAGAACAGATGGAAAGTCAGGGAGTCTAATTATTGTTACTATGCCCACTTTACAGATGTGGAATACCACAGCCAAGGAAGATAGAGCTGGAGAGATGGGTGGGCTCTAGACAGGCAGTAGGTTTTAGATCACAAAAAGACTTTAGTCTAAGTGTTTAAAAACATATTTTATGAAGGAGACTCACTAGGATCTGATTTGTATTTTTAAAAAGACTTCATTTTATTTTATGTGTATGAGGAGTGTTTTGCCTGCATTCATGTTTGTGTACCACATGCATGCAATGCCCATGAAGGTCAGGAGAGGGTGTTAGACTCCCCCTGGAGCTGGAGTTAGAGATGGTTGTGAACTGCCTTGTGGGTGCTGAGAATTGAACCTGTGTCTTCTGGAAGAGCAGCCAGTGCTCTTAACTGCTGTGCCATCTCTCCAGCCCTCTGATTTATATTTTTTCTTTTAATTCATAGGAGGCCTGTTGTGTGGAGAAAGGGAACTTCCTCCAGCTAGGAGGAATGATGGTGGTAGACTTGATTAGCATAGCAGGGGATAGGACTACTCTATACAGCACTGAGATGTTTTATAGATGGGTCAGATTCACAAAGCCTGGGAAAGTCAAGCATGGCTGCCAGAATTTTAATTCAACCCTTGGGCGGGCAGTACCACCACTACCCAATGCGGGAAGAGCAGAATTGGGTGGAAAACCAACATTAGAAACCACTTAGGCATTCCAGTGAAGAGGCAGAGGGGCTGATGAGCCTCTGAAACTGAACTTGGAATTGAGGGACTAGGGGAAAACCCCTTGAGAACCACGAGACTGTGGCTCACATTGAGTCTAGTTAGCTTAGATGACCCATAGGTCTAAATGCTATTTCCTCACAGATGGCTCATGCCCACACCCAAGAAACACCCTTTCATTTAAAGACATACAAAGTGGGAAAGCCTCAGGGGATTTGAATTGGAATGTTTGGAAGTGTCTGGGCAGGTGGTATTTTCGGTTGAGCCGTTGACAGTGTGGGGCTGTCAGGAAGAGGCGTGTCCCCCCAACTCTAAAGCATCTGCTTAACTTTTGTCATCTCGTTTAACAGCATGGTGTTGTTTTGCCCTGGAAATAGGGACCCTGGCGCAGAGTGACTGGCAGGGAAGAGGTACAAAGAACAGAGATGTCAAGTCCCTTCTGCCTGACTCCAAAGCACACACACTGTCTTAGCTGGGGTTTCTATTGCCGCGAAGAGACACCATGACCACAGCAACTCTTGTAAAGACAACATGTAATTGGCGTGGCTCACAGTTTCAGAGGTTCAGTCCAGCATCATCCTCATGACAGGGAGAGTGGTGACACACAGGCAGACATGGTGCTGGAATAGCAGCTGAGAGTCCTACATCTTACAGACCACAGGAAGTCGACTGAGACACTGGGCAATATCCTGAGCACAGGAAACCCCAAAGTCCGCCCTCACTGTGGGTGCATTAAGGAAGTCCATGAATTCCCGAGTAAAAGAATATCAAGCATTTATTTGGGGAACACTCTCACAATGAAGGTAAAGAGCTGCTGCTGTCTTCTGTCCTGGAGGTGCAGGATGCTGCCATCAGGCCTCAGACCACCACCTGAGAGAGATTGAGAGAGACCCCTCTTCTTCCTCCTAAGGGATCATGTCCACACACAGAAGCCACACCCTAAGACAGGTACCCCAAACCTATTGTCGGAGCAAATTCCGACTACACCCCACAGTGACACACTTCCTCCAGCGAGGCCATACCCACTCCAACAAAGCCACATCTCAGAACAGTGCCACTCTCTATGAGCTTATGGGGGCCAATGACATTCAAACCGCCACAGCTACTTTTCTATAACTCTAGACCAGAAGATAGGCAGGGCAAAGGGGTGATGACCATTTTTCCGCCAGGGCTGGGCTCAAATAAGGTGACCCTCAAATAATTACAGTGCTGGAAGCAGGGGTGTGTAGGGATAAGAGGGGTTCCTACATGTACTTTATTTACATTAAGAGGAGCACCCACCCTGGGGCCGACATGGTCGTTAAGTGATGGCGACACAGAAGCTTCAGTATAATATGCTCACAATGAAGCATGCTTGATCTTGTTGGTAAAATAGAATGGCACCAATGTGAGGAGGAAAATGTGCAGACCATCTTCTAATCAATGTGAGAAAGCAGCTACTTCTCAGCAGCGGGCATTGGTCTTGTCAGCCAGGCTTGGTTGACACTTCTTAGAGAGGCCCAGGTAAGCCTTGGGAAATGTATTCACCAGGTACAAATACCATAAAATCCCAGCATCCCTACTAAAACTGCATTTACTAACAATGAAGATCAGTAAAGGACCAAATGCCAACAGGAATCCTTCCCAACAAAGCTCTGTCAAAGAAGTGTCTGAGCAGCGAGCTTTGCACCCGACCTTTGCCCCTCCACCGGAACTGAGGTGGCCTGGAGGAAGGTGGTCTATAGGAGACAATTGTGAGGCAGAATTCCAGAGGACCATGCACTGTTAAAAGTGCCTTGTTCTGACCCCAAGAAGAGGATCTAACCTGTACTTTAACTGACGCTCTGTTCATCTGGTTCTTGGATGTAGGACCTCAGAACTTAGCCTCAGCATAGGAGGTCAAATACAGCACACAGATGCCCTGGAATGCAGGGAGTCCCCACATGTGAGCAGGGTCTGTGTTTGACACAGGTATTTTCTGGAAATTGTTGAGCCAACACTGTCCAGTTACTGCAAATTAAAGAGGTGGCCATAATAGTCACTCATTCCCCTGTCCCTAGCTGGACACACAAGGAGCTTGGTAGACATTTGGTTAATCAGGACTGAATTTTGGGCTCCCCACAGAGTGTCTTCAGGAATCAGTCCTGGGTGGAGTAATCAGTACTAACCAGGCCAGGAAAACTCTTGTCCTTCAAGCCAATTAGATTTTCCAGGGGTGCAGACCACTGTCATTTCCTTCCTCCCCAGAAAAGGTCAGGTTAAGCCACAGCCACCAGGCACAAATGATTGCTTCTGATGTTGTCTAGGAGGGATGAAGTTACTTCAGATTCAGATCCCACCAGCACAGAAGTGGTAGCTTCTAGCCTCCATCTCTAACCCCAAGAGACCTGTGTGTATGACCTAGCCTTTGATCCCAGACAGCCCAGCAATGGAGGAAAGACCACAAGTCTACTCAAGTGAGATTTTTGACTAAACTTAAGGAAGTCAGTAGGAAGATGACCATGCTAATACTATCCAGGCCTTCTGGCCTATCCTGAAGTCTTCTGACGCCAAAGAGGGAATTTAACTAGTCTGACACTTCAATGGAAAGTCTTGGCTATGCTGTAACCAACAATGGTGCCCCAAGATTTCCAGAAGAGTTGTTTTCTCTATCTCCTTGGCCCTGAAGGCTCATTAGGAACAATCTGCTTTGTCCAGAAGGATGAGACCATTAAGATGTTGACACTATGGAAAGACTTGCTTTCCTTCAACTGGAAGAGGAACAAGACCTCAAGTTCTAAGTCCTAAGAAGTGCACCAAGAGCTCCAGAAATCATTCTACTGATCTGTATATAAAGACAGAGGGGTCCTCAGGTGTGGCACCAGGTATCACTGAGTGGTCTCCAGCTACTGCTGGTAAGGGAGAGTTGTACGGTATGGCAGTGAGCACCAGGTGGCAAGAAAGCAATGGACTCCTGACCAGTGCCCCATGATGGTCTTCCCTGGTCAAGGCAACCAAGTGGTGGGCATGGCTCCACCAGCTTAGCAAAGCCACCTCCTGAGTGCTGGGCTAGCTGGGATCTGTTGGAACTGCCCCGGCTTCCAGAGGATCAGGCCACACTCTGAGTAGACAGCCTACTATCTTTCTGGCCTTACAGGCTGCCCCTGTGAAACGCCATTATCAGCAGCCTTCGCCTCCTTGTGAGGTCACTGAGGACTGAGTCATTGCTCCTAGATACAATATGACAGGATGTGCAGTCTTAGTGTTTGCAGAGTTGGGGGATTTTCTGAAGGTCTATATGCAGTAAGTATCCAAGCTAAGGCCAAGTAAGAAGCCTCTGAAACAGTCCCCAGTGGGATGTTGTCCATCCTCGGCTGGTGTCAGTCTAAGTTCACCTTTACCTTCTTGGAAATCCAAGAACATGGCAAGTCTTTGGCATAGAGACCCTTGTGTTCAAGGAGCCCAGCTATCTCCTTTGTGATTGTAAGTCTTTGGCATAGAGACCCTTGTGTTCAAGGAACCCAACTATCTTCTTTGTGATTGCAGGGTGGTTTCAGGACACCTCGGAGCTCTTCAGTTTTCTGGGAGAATTTCTCTAAGTATCATTTCAGATGCACCAGGACATTGCCAGTGAGTGGTGGCCTCCATATCCCCCTCATGGAGCTCTCTGTGGGGTTCTAAGATCTAGAGATAACTGATACCAAAATGCCTTTGATTGCTGTTCAGTCCTGTCTTAGTTAGGGCTTTATTTCTGTAACAAAACATCATGACCAAAAAGCAAGTTGGAAGGAAAGAATTTATTCAGCTTACATGACTTTTCATCACTGAAGGAAGTCAGGACAGGCACTCAAACAGGGCAGGAACTAGAGACAGGAGCTGAT